GAAACATTTTGGAGGCGTGTTTGGACTTAGGGCCGTGTGCAGAGGCCATGTGTGGGGCCCCAGTGACTTTACAGACTTTACAGTAGAGTCATGGAAAACATAGGAAGTATTTTCAGGACAACATGTTGGTGATGCGTTTTGTAATTGATTAGGAGTAAAATAATACATGGTCTTGCTTTTCTTCAAAATACAATTTCTGAAATTACCATGCAAAAGGTATGAACATGTACCTCATTATTGTACGCTTTAGATTACTTATATTTGAGATAAAGGCGGTGAGATAACAGAGTTTTTCTGCCAAGTAACTTGACCTGAATATTTGCAGTGAATGAGGCCCTTTTAACATTTTCTTTTGGTCACTGTTCATTCCCCCACTTCCTCAAATGTTTGTATCCCAGAGGAGCAATTTAAGGGTTAAATTGAACAATTACTGTGGCGGAAATAACTAGACTTCTAGACTATGTCGTAGTTTAACTTAACCTCACACAAGGCACCAGTTAAATGGCACCAAAAATGTTTTGCGTTTTGGTCACACATCACCTAAGGTGTGCATTAGAGTGTCGGATGACTTTTTCCTTCTGTTATTTCGAGGCACCAGCCAGGAATGTTACCTTGACAGTGAAGATTATTTATTAACTAGTATCAGCTATATAATGTCTTATGTACATTAGAAAACCATATACTGATAATGTACAACAATGCCAAGGTCTCTAGAAAGAGGTTTGGTTAAGTGATATTTTACGTTTCACGTGGTCGAATAAGCACCGGTTGTCTTCCACTGGTTGTTCTGGGTCATAGATATATACACTAGATGTCGCCTTGGCTACGGCAGTTCATTAGAACGAATGCGTCAATAGAACCGCCATCTTGGATCAGGGGAGCCCCTCCACTTTAATGTATCAGCATCAATGTAGACAAAGGTCTAACAGAAATAAAATCACCATAAATCATCATGAATGCGATTTTCTCTCTATTTTTTTTTTTTTGGTTCGTTCCAACGGTCAGACATGTATTTATACGGAAGAGGATTAGGGCCAAGCAATAATAAAAAAATAAAAACCATCTCGAGATTAAAGTCATTATAATGTGAGATTAAGCTCGTTAAATTTCGAGAAAAAAGTCGAAATAAAATCTTGAAAATAAACTCATTAAATACATTTACATTTATTCATTTAGCTGACTAAATGTAAATGTGTAAATGTATTTAATGAGTTTATTCTCACATTATAATGAATTTCGAGTTTAATCTCACATTATAATGACTATAATGTTATGTCACATTATAATGACTATAATGAAATGTCGAGAATAAAGCCGTGTTTCGAGAAAAAAGTCTAAATACAATCTTGAGAATAAACTAATTAAAAACCGGCAATAAAGTCGTTGTGTTTCGAGAAAAAAACTCGTTAAATTTCGAGAGAAAAAAGTCGAAATACAATCTTGAGAAAATACTAGTGTGGCAGCAATACAAAGGTTTTTACAAAGTAACCATGGAGACAGTTTCCCGAAACACGACTTAATTCTCAAAATTTAACGTTTTTTTTTTTTTTCGAAAAACAACGACTTTATTCTCGATATTTAATGAGTTTATTCTCAAGATTGTATTTCGACTTTTTTTCTAAAAATTTAACGAGTTTAATCTCGCATTATAATGACTTTAATATGGTTTTATTTATTTTTTTATTATTGCTTGGCCCTTATCCTCCTCCATATATTTATCATTGATTCCAGAAAAAAATAAAATAAAAATGTAAACATTCTTCCTAGTTCAGATTTAATTCGTGTGAACATCATACACAGCACAAAAGCCTGCCACCATCAATTAATTTGAAGTAAAGGCAGAGATAGCAGCGTTACCCAGCTACTTCCTATGACAAGACCCCTGTTCCAAGATGGCGGTGGTTTTGACGCATGCTTAGAACCCAAAGGTGATGTCTAGTGTATGTGTCTATGGTTCTGGGTAACAATGCAGTGGAGAAAGGAACCAGAATCTGTTTGAAAACCCCTGGATGTGAAGCATACGAGGCGCTGAAGTAGTTGCAGAAGGTCCTTAACAATCTGGAACATGCAGACGAAGGTGCTTTGGAGTGAAGTTTATTTGGTTGATGTTTGAAAATTAAGTCACATTATATTTATTATCCTTACCTTTTTCTTTCCTTCGTAGGGTCAGAACGCCACCAGTTTCGGATCAGCAGTTGTTCAGAGGTGAGTAGTAGGAAAAAAATATTTGTTTTTAATGCTTTGTCTTTTTTTTTCCACTTTTTTAAAAAGTTTGAGGTCAGTAAGATGATATATATGTTGGGCTTATACTCACCAAGACTGCATATATCTTATCAAAATTAAGATTATTTAAAATAATTAAAAATAATAATGTTGGTTTCTTTTTCAAACAGCATAACATCAGAAGACCAACTTGGCTACTTAGCTGAGCCGTGTCAAACTGCACTCAAAGGTTTTTTTAATTAATTTTCTAATACACACCATTAGTTTGCCAAACAGTTTAAATGATTATCTGGTAACTGCTATTATTATATCTTTTACCACATTTAAGAGGAGGCAAGCGTTGCACCAAATCATGCAATGGAAGGACCTTTATCACAGGCCGAGTGGAGAAACATCTACCTCATGGACTCTGATCCCGTCAACCCGTTGTTGGTGTGTATGGTTTGTGGAGAGCAGCAGTACTCCCTCAGTGTGGACGGGGCGAAGACTCACATTGAGGAGGTGCATCCTAATACACTATCATTGGGAGAACTTGAACGTCAAGGCATTCTGGATGCCTGGGATAAACAGGTGGCTGTCCGCGAGCACTTCATCACACACCAGCTTCAACAGCGATGCAGAGGTCCTACAGGTAACAGGGAGATCTACATTCAGTCTGGCTTAGAAAATAAGTCCTAATTGATTTTATGATTAAATCTTCTGAACAGAGTTTTAACTGACGTGAGTGAAACCGACAGATGACCGTTGAGATGGAACACATTTTTTTATTGAGATGAGCCACAGAATGGCTGATTTATTTATTATTATGGGTATTACTTTTGTTAAACACACACCAATTATATACTATATTTATCATTTGATCAACTGAGACCTAACTTTAAAGAGCCCCTATCATGGATTTTTGAAAATGACTGTTCATGCGGTGTGGAATATAGCTCTAAGGGAATGAAAACATCCTGCAAAGATTTATATCTGAAAGTGCACCGTATATAAAGTTATTGTCTTTCAAAAGTGAGAGTCGACTCTGAGTCTATGAAATGAATTGTTTTTGAAACGAGTCATTAGCTGGTTCGTAGTGACGTAGATACATATTGGCCGCGCCCAGTTAGACGGAAGTGTAAACTCGAAGTCTACACATTTAAATACTTCATCATAACATCATGTCGAGAAGACGCTGTGTTCTACAATGCAAAGATAGTTCAGCCACTTTGTTTTCATTTACCAGGGACGAGCATGTGAAGAATCGGTGGTTAGAGTTCATATTTGCAACGATACCACAACAGTATAGCCCGAGTGTGTTCTCATTTTTAATTATGAATCGTTCAAAAACATAAATGAATTCAAATGTGGATTCGCAAGCGGTTGTTCCTGAAGGAGGGCTCAGTAACTTACTTACCCAGTGTATATGGATCAGCTTCCTCCTATGAATCACAACCTGTAAGTATTATTAATAATTGTTGCTTTTATGGGTTTTGAACAGTTTTGTAGCGTCGGGCGTGAGGGGGGAAGGCGCAATAAGTATGTGTGTGTGCGCGTGTATGTGTAAGTTACGCTCAGCGCAGCTTCTAGGTCTCCAATGTCAATTTTTTTTAAATATGTGAAATGTTTGTCGCTGTTATTGGAGTTGTCATAAAGAATAGAGCGTCTTGTAGTACTGCAGTGCTTTATCAATATGTTTATGCGTTATGCTAACAAACAATAACTGACTGGGTCTGTCATCTGACCAATCACCGCCGATTAGCGTCACGCAAAGGAGTGGTTTGGAAAAATGAGTCGTTGTATGAATCATTTGGGAGTCGGTGAGCAAATCAGTTAAAAATAAATGCTTATTATAAGACAAATAAAGTGTTTTTTTATCCCTGCATGCATGTTAAACTGTTTTTGGGAACTCCTAAAACAAAAATAGGAACATTTCAAATGCTATGATGGGGGCTCTTTAAATATCTTCTCCTGCCTTATTGATCTTCCTTATTATGTTTTCTTAAGAATTGTAAGTACTCTCAGTTTTGTTATAATGTAGTAGATTAATATCTTTTTTAATGATGGGAGGATATTGAAATGTTGATTCTACCCTTTTCTTGCTGATGTGCTACTGAGCCTCATGAAATTAACTTTTTTAATTTTGGTAATATTCAGAACCATCCAGGACCTGTAAATGAAGTTACATGATAAGATATGTAAAAACATTCTCACATGCACAAACAAATGAAATATAGATATCTTAAGAATGCATTTTGACCATGTGTTTTCAGTATCTGTTCAGACTGTGCAATTTTCAAAAATGTCATTTTCTTTTTGTAATAAATTGTTGCACTGCATAATGTATATATTATTTTGATGTCTTTTTACCCTTTTTTGCCTTTCCACAATGTTATTTTTTTAATCTAAAGAACTTCTGTCTGAATAGGGTATTGATTGTTCTTCCCCATGACAGTTTTTAACGTACAATCAAATGTAATTTATGTTGGAAAAATATCTATACACATTGAAAACAGGTTTGAAAAAAAGCACAAGGATTAGAATCATCAAAGGTCATAATAGTTCAACAAACATAGTTTGTTAATCTTTACAATCTAAGCCAAAGACAAGTAAACATTTTAATAAATTCTGCTTCCCTCTTCAGTGCACATCTGTTGTACCTAATAAGTCCTTTTGCACCTTTTGTTTGCTTGAAGCTGCACTGAAACTCTCATTTGGACTGTTTGGTACCCAATGAAGTCCATTATTTGGAGATAAATCCTGGAATGTTTTCATCAAAAACCTTAATTTCTTTTCGACTGAAGAAAGAATGACATGGATATCTTGGATGACATGGGGGTGAGTAAATTATCAGCAAAAGTTTTTTTTTTTTTTTTAAAGTGAACTACTCCTTTAAATGTTTGGCTCAATATATATAGGTCTACTTTTCTTAGAATAGTAAAACTAGGATTGTTTTGAACACTAAAATGAGCACTAAAAAAACGAAATTATATTATGAAAAAATGCACATAAAATCAAATCATTGGAGAAATATTTCTTTTATTACACTGCCAGATCAGGTTATGATGCATTTACACGTACACATCTTAAAACAACTTTGCATAATTGTAGACGGATCTCAATTCAAAAAATAGTGTGGACTTGGTGACTAAATTAAATCATTTTAGATTCATGTAATGCTACCACACTCTAATAGATCTCAATTGAGGTCTTAAAGGGATACTCCACTTTTTTTGGAAATAGGCTCATTTTACAACTCCCCCAGAGTTAAACAGTTGAGTTTCACCGTTTTAAAAAGCATTTAGTCGATTTTCTGATATTTAGAAGAATATCAGTAACCAGACAGTTTCTGGTCTCATTGACTTCCACAGTAGGAAAAAAATATACTATGGAAGTCAATGAGACCAGAAACTGTCTGGTTACTGATATTCTTCTAATTACCAGAAAATCGGCTGAATGGATTCGAAAACGGTAAAACTCAACTGCTTAACTCTGGGGGAGTTGTAAAATGAGCTTATTTCCAAAAAAGTGGAGTATCCCTTTAATAAAATGCATGGCATTGTGACACTGAACTCTCACTGGTTCACTCTTTGTGAGCGCTGTGGTTCGTCTTCAGTGATTTGATCTATTTCAACCTCCTGCTCAGGGGTTTGCTGAGCATCTGACGAGGTTTGCAGTTCTCGAGGTCCAGTTTCCAATCGAAACACAGTGGGGATCTGGCCCAATATGGGACATGTCTCCTGTAGACCAGAAATCCACTGAGACAGAGTGGCTTGGTCACCCTGACCGGTCATACACATGGCGTAAACCAGCCCCTCTTCCACTGCAGAATCAAATCAACAGAAATCATTGTGTATAATTGGTGATATGCAAATCACTTCATTCATTGACAATGCAATATGTGTCTCACCGTCATCCACATTGAAACTCTGATCATCACCAATGTCTCTTTCCAGGTCAAGTTCCACTCGCTGAGGATAGAAGAGACTCTGCTCTGGACCAATCAGCTCAGGGTCAATGTGTTCCTCAACCTACAAGAAAATCAGATGCTAATGCATAATCCAGAATGTAAATGAATTCTTAATTTTATTATTATGTATTGTATTGTTGTATTCTTTTAAATATCGTATATTAAAGAGGCCATATTATGCCCTTTTACAAAGTCTTAATTTTGTTTTTGGGATCTACTAGAATATGTTTTCATTCTTGAATGTTTAAAAAACACATTATCAATCACATATTTTAAATTGTTGCAGCATCTCTCTTCCCAGTCTGTCAGTAACGCTCTGTTTAGTTCCAGTCTCTATGAAGCCCCTCCTTCTGAAAAGTGCAATTTGCTCTGATTGGTCAGCTGGACAAGTGTGTTATTCATGTTCCAAAAATGTCACGTACCTTGCCATAACCACGAGTTTTAACACACTACCAATGCGACTCAACCAGGCCTTTACTTTGCATACGACATGGGGGAGAATTAGGGGCCATTTGCATCTAAAAACGGAAAACTTTGTGTTTTGGTCATTCATGTACACAACAAGAGCGTTTTAGGGGCCTATAAACGCAAACTTTTAAAAATTGGGTTTCAAAGTGCAAGTTTTTGAAAATTATACCGTTATCGTCTCCGTTTAAACTTAAAAAATGCGAATTTGTGAAAATGGTGACGTCATGCGGATACGAATTATGTGTTCACTCCATAGGCGCGTAGTGTTTCTTTAACAAAGTGACATCACCAACTACTGGCCTGGGGTGCGTTTCCCGAAAGCATCGTTAGCCAACTATGGTCGCAAGTTTCGTCGTTACCAATAGAGTTCAATGGAAATTGCGCAAGTTGGCTAACGATCATGCTTTCGGGAAACGCACCCCTGGCATGCATGATGCAGCATTTTTAGACAGTTTCGCAAGAATATTAATCAATGACTTGAAGATAGTTAACTACACATCAGCAACATAAATTCATTAACCAACCATTCAGAAATGTCCAAAATTCCCTTCTTGAGTCTCTCCATCATTGTCTGATTTCGGCTTGAACATAAAAGGCTAAAAGTTTTTGAAATTTTCAGTGCATGTCTGTGTGAGCTGCTAACACACGATCTCTTGAAGCTCCGCCCTCTGTGCCGGTAGCAGCTGCTCATTTGCATTTAAAGGGACAGACACAAAAACAGTACGTTTTTGCTCACCCTCAAAAAGTGACAATTTTAACATGCTATATAACAATATCTGTGGGGTACTTTGAGCTAAAGCTTCACATGCACACTCTGGGGACATCAAAGACTTATTGTACATCTTGTGAAAAGGGCATTATACCACCTCTTTAAAGAAATTAATAAATAGGGCCCAATTTTCACCCACTGTGGTCCCACAAGAAAAATAAAATGGGACTATTAGAGGGTCCAGTGTGATTAGCCATGTAGCCCACCTTGGTACCATTATTAGCACCCATTTGGGACCCAAGTGAGCTCATATAATGAACCTCCAAATAGGCCCCAATTAGAGCCCACTATAGATCATCATGTGACCCATGGGATAACATACATAGAGCCACATTTCCCTGGGCCCAAGTGACAGCCCATCAAAAATCCTCATGGAAATGTTGGCTGGGTTGTAACTTTGCAGAGCTTTTCATTCTCAAACAGCAACATTGCACAGAAAGGAAAGTTGAAAATGTAAAAAAAAGCATAATAGGTCCTCTTTAAGGAAATTCTTTAAATGCCATCATTAGCCCAGTTATAGTACCTTTTCCTCAGGTGGTATAGGGTCAGCCCTAAGTAGGAAATAATGAACACAAGTCTTCCTGAGCCACAGTGGAAATGGGCCTTCCACATAAACAGGCCTGCAGGGATTGTGTTTAGCCAGGAGAGAGCGCTGGTCTGGACTTTGAATACCTAATAACAAGTAAAAAAACAATGGGCTTGGTTTTAGTGCAATTTCAATTTCAAAAAATTGATGTCCAGTCACTTGGCAAACATGTAAGTGTAAAGTTCTTACTATTTTCGTATCATTCTTTATCTTAGTAAAGATGAGATAAAGATGACATGCATTTAACCCAGAATATTTCTTAAATAAAGTCGAAGTTCAATTATCACTAATGGTAAGATCTACATACCTAGAATATGGGGACGTGTGACTTCTTGTCCTGTCTCTGTGATGTCTGTTGACGGATACTACAAAGAGTGAAATAAAGCACATTTATCAGACTGAAAAGCCTTCATTTCCAGAAACAGTTCAAACATACACTACCGTTGAAAAGTTTGGGTCAGTTTTGTTTTTAAAAACATTAATACTTTTATTCAGCAAGAACACATTACCATATATTGATCAAAAATTACACTACAGGCATTTATAATGTTACTTAATCTTAAAAAAGTATGACAGTTTCCACAAAATGATTAATGTTTTCAATATTGATATTAATATCAGGTAACACTTTACAATGAGGTTCCAGTTGTTAACATTATTTAACTACATTAGTTAAAGGGATAGTTCTGTCGTTCTGTTTAGGATAAATTCTGTCGTCATTCACATACCCTCAAGTTATTTCAAACCTGTACGAGTTTTTAACTTCTGTTGAACACAAAAGAAGACATTTTGAAAAATGTCGGAAAAAAAAATATAATGGAAGTCAATGGGTGCTGTCAACTGTCTGGTTACCAAAGTTATTTAAAATACATTATTTTATGTTCAGCAGAAGAAATAAACTCATACAACTTAATATTCATTTTAAAATTTACATTTTAAAATACATTATTAAAATCAAAAGTTGTATCTGTAAATATTATTTAATGGACCTGCGATAACATAACAAACTAACAAATATGTATTTTATAACTAACATTAACTACGATTAATAAATGGGATACAATTGGAACCAAATAAAAATCTGAAATGATCCTCAAGCATCAAATCAGCATATTAAAATGATTTCTGAAGGATCATGTGACACTGAAGACTGGAGTAATGGTGCTGAAAATTCAGCTTTGCTCACAGAAATAAATTGCATTTTCAAATATTATAAAATAGAAAAATGTTGTTTTAAATTGTAATAAACAAAATTGTTATAAAATTAAGATTTTATAAAAATTGTTATTAAATTGTTATAAAATTGTCTGTAATGTACTGAATTGTTGTGATCTGTGCCGCTGCCTTGGCCAGGACTCCCTTGAAAAAGAGATTAGTAATCTCAATGGGATTTTTTTTTTTTCCCTGGTTAAATAAAGGCTAAAAAATAATAACAATAATAATAATAGCCTATTTCTAAATATTTTAGGTAAAAATCAAATTGAGCATAAGAGACATCTTTGAAAAACATTAAACAATTTTACAGACCACAAACTTCTGAACAAGTTCTGCTTGTGTGATGCAAAGGTCTTTATGACAGCTCAAAGCAGTAAATTAAAGGATCACCTGATAGATTGTTACTTTAGCATCCGGGTCATCTGCAATCCGGGCAAGACTGAATCGAGCGAGTTCAACCGGGTCACTGGGGAGCACGTGTGGGACGGGGAAGGGGTTTACGTTCTTGAATCTGGGAAACCAGTACATCATACGCTGGTACTTCCTCATGGGATGACTCTTTTCCCCAAATATCTGAGCCAATAAAACCTTGGTCTCTACATTGGGTATGATACCTGTTCAAATTAAGAAGGAAATCATTAAAGCAATGCACCAGTTTCGCTTTCTCTCTTACAAAAACACAGACACACACACCATAATTCTCCATCTGCTCCAGCAGCTGTACTCCACACTCTTGCTGTCGTGGGTAGTGGTTGAACATCCTCTGTATGAAGTTCTGTGGCACAAACACCTCTTTCGGAAACACGTCTAGGAGTCTGTTGTAAACGGCAATGTCTCGTTCAACTCCAAACTCAGGCATCTTCTTCAGGGCAGCATAAATAAACTCCACATGTCCTCTTCGCCGAATGTCCGCCTTGTTGAAAACATCCACGACCCTGTTAAAATCAGCCTTGGTCTTGGAGTCTGTAGTAGCTCGCTCAAATAAATCATCGTGTGTGATCAAAGTTTTTTCTTTATGGTGCGTTGAATGTTCAACTGCCTTTTCAAACTCTGGCTGGTTTGGACGACTCGTGGAACAAACTGCACTGCGATGGAGTGACCTCAAAAACTTGGCGGGAAAAAAAGGACAGAAGAACAACAGGCATTAATGCAGGTGCCCACAGAGTATAAAGCAGCATTATTCAGAGGGAAGCAGATACCTGGCCACTGCTGTGCTGCGATCCAGGGGGTTGCAGATGTGCTCCGCCACTCTGGATCACTCGTTGTACACTCGGTGTCCCCAGAAACCGTGCAACGCACACATTGCACTGGATCCGAAACAGGTGACGAGGAGCGTTCATGATTATGACATCACAAACCACAGCAGATTAATTACAAATGTACTGAAATTAACCTGGAAAGGAAACAACATACACAAACATCACTATCACAGTATTAATATACATTTTAAATGTAATAATGTATTCATTTATATCTATATTATCTTAGAGAAATTAGTACATATATCTATCTATCTATTAATCTTAGGCTAATTAGTAATTATATAATGCACAATTTATCACATTATTGTGCATTAATCAATCTATCTATCTATCTGGTTAGCTATCTATCTCTATCTGTCTGTCTATCTATCTATTTGTCTGTCTGTCTGTCAATCTATTTGTTTGTCTGTCTGTCTGTCTGTCTCAGAGAAATGCAATTATAGCCTATAAAAGTAATTATATAATTTGAATCATATTATTGTGACCTTTACAACTGACTTTTTCCTATAAATGTAATTGGCCTATACAATAAAACAATGAAATGGCAAGGAAACGCTAAATACTACTTTATCGATACTCACGGTCAGTAAATCCACTCAGATTTCATTCTGCTGTCAAGTCTCCTTCAAACACGCACCGGCTGGTTTCCTGGTGCGTCGTCGTTCAACTCCCCTCCCCTGAAACATCACGAAGAACGTTCCACTCCCATTGGTTCCGTGTTATTCTTAGCAATCAGCGCTAGATGGCAGACCGGCATTCGGTGGAAACTAGATGAAGCTGTCAAAGTTATGTTTTTACTTTTTCTTTAACCGGGAAAAGAGGGGAAAACTGTACAGCAACTAAGTAGCTAGACTTATTTCAGTTTCGCTTCGTGCAGTTAGAAGAATACATTTAGGAATCTCACGCCCTCAATCAACTTCACATGGACGCGGTTCCTGGAGTAAGTTAAACCCCTGGTTAAACCCAGCCCGCGAGATCGTGCACTTGCCTCATGCGACAGATACACTCTCTGCGTGCTCATTTCCTGGATTCGTGATTTCACACTCACGACAACTTCTGCAATCTTCAGTGGCTCCTCCACGCGAGTGTTGGTGTGCGTGAGTGTCCCGCAAGCTCTTGGCGATGCTGTTGACAGCATTTATAGAGACATGCATTGCTTTTCTGCCAATGGATACTAGTTTAATCCAATATTTGCGAGATCTTTAAGGAGTGTTTAACTCAGACATGGATGGATCAACGAATAGCCTTGGTGAGTTTCTTATCTTTATGTCTATAACTTAAATATAAACGATAAACAACTAGGACCAACTAACAAATGCTTTGGAAACAACATTTCTGAGTTCACATTTGGAATCATGCCAATTCTGTCAGTATTTACAAATGGGCTGTTGGTTTACTGTCAAAACATTTAAAACTGATTTTTAGTTTTGTGTGTGTGTGTGTGGGATAAATGCAGGGTGTGAGTAAAAGACTGACACTATCAGACTTCCCTCGCAAAACTAAATTCCATGGTAACCAGTCTTCGACAAGTTTTGGCGATACTATTTAATGGTAACAAGCCTAAACTGGTTTTCTGGTCCTAGTTGATCTGCTAGCCAGGCAAGCTGGTTTGAAAAAGTGCACAAAACCACCCTAAAACCAGACAACAACAGGCCTGGTCTGCCTGAGAGACCAACTTAGATTTAAGATTAAAAAAAAAAAATTATGACAACTTCTAACACTTTGGCTCCCATATTCATTTATTATTCTTTTTAAGTAACACAAGTAGTAGAAACTTGTTTTTTGTTGTCAACTCTGTTTACCATAGACATTTTTCTGGAATTTCACTCAGACGTTTTTATGTTAGTTCTGGGAAGATATTGTTGTGCAGCCATTTGTGTACTATTGGATATCAAATTAATTCAAAATCTATTGTCCTATACATTTTCCAAGCAGTTTGAATGTCATTCAGTCTTTAATGACACTGACACAACAACAATGGCTGCACTGCAGTTAATTGCGTCATTTTTGTCACACAAACTCGTGCCAAGTCTCGCTTCCTCTGTTGGCCTTTATGGTTATCTCATCAAACTCTCTCCTTCCCGACTTCCAATGTTTCTTACACTCCATGGCAGGCCGTTTTTACAATTGTTAACACTGAATAGTATTTTTATGATTGGCTTTTATAAATCAATCAATTAGGTAATCCAAAACACTTAACTCTTCATTAGCTAAATACAAATAATTTTTCCCAGTAGAGACTAGTATCTTTTCAATAGATAATATTTTTTCATTACATACTAGTATTTAAAATAGCGACAACTATTCGACTTACGCAGCTGGTACTATTCCAGTTTTACTATAACTTACTTATTAGAAACTAGTACCTATTAATGAGACCCAGGCCAGTACTTGCTAGTAACATGGATAGAGCTGTCTTGTCGGTGGATTGTAACGCATCACAGTCAGTCAGGTAACGTTACAAGGAAGTGAGATGATGGCTACTAATATTAGGTAATAGGGCTGGGTATTGACACAAATTTCACAATTCGATTCGATTTCGATTCACAAGCTTGCAATTCAATTCGATTTCGAATTCGATTCGATTCAATATTGATTATTTTGCATATCAGTTACAATAAATGGCAAATTTTCTCAAATCTCTTAACTAATGCTGTAAACTATGGGAGTCTAGTTGTAGCCTATAGGCTTAGGTGATAATTAACTGTTTTTTTTTTATTGCAATTTAAAACAAAGCAATTTTTTGCAATTTTTTTTTTTGTTTGTTTGTTTTTTTGGATGCGCGCAGCCGCGATACACTTCCATTCATTCAAATGAAACAGGATGACTAATCGATTCTTGAGATTTAAGAATCGATATCGGTTCGTAAAAATGAGAATCGATTAATATCAAGAAATCGATATTTATTACCCAGCCCTATTAGGTAAGACATAAAGTTGTATTTTTCGCAACTTGTGTGAAATAATATGTGACAATCGGGTCCAGTCGGATTTGTGTCTTCCCGTCGGGTTCAGGTCCACTTTTCGAATAATAGACGGGTCCAGGTCTGGTCCGGGCAGTACATTTATGGCATTTCTCGGATCTGCACGGGTCCGGGTCCAACTTTCTAAATAATGGACTGGTTGGGTCGCGTCGGTTCAGTGTATGAATTTCGGTTCGGGCATGAATTTCTGGACCCGTGAAGACCTCTAGTCCAGACACAAATTGTACAAAGTTAAGTGAGTCCATAAGATATGATAAAAAAACTATTTTAAATAGTCAAGGTTTAAATTGCTTGCCATAAATGGCTTCTTGTCTAGACCGCTTTGTTGGTTTGGTAATGGGAGTGTTGTAGTTTGTGATCGCTTGCAGTGTAGATTTTCCACATTGAATGGGTGTCTGTAACAGTGACACCACATGTGCTTTTGTTGTGTTTTAATTGTCTGGTAACATGCTGGGCCAGTGGAGAGCAGTAAATATCATGGCGGAAGCCCTCTGGCATCATGCTTTTACCACAGATGCTTGATTTTTCCCAGCTTGTCTTTCTGTGTCAGTTGCCTCAATGTCTGGATCTTGTCAGAAGAGATGATTGCCAAAATATCAGATAATTGGTTGGTGCAACTGCAGTGATTGACAAGCTGACAGTGACATGGTCTCAAAGTGTTCGGCTTTCCACAATTTGTTTTAAAAGTGTTACATTGGAAGCCGTTTTTGTTTGGTAGTTTGTGAATGCATTGATTTTAGGTTTTACGTTTTAGATGAGATACGAGAATTGTCAAAATAAGGTTTCTTTGATCTCAAAAGCATTTTGAAACTCTATCTTGGTTGTGTAATGTGTACAGAGTTTGGAAGATATCAAATGCATGAGTTAAACACGTCTCAACCAAAATTCCAGGATTAAACACAACACAAGTGTTTCTTTCATTACTCACTTGACTGAACAGAAACAGATCTGAAAATGTTTGGACGAAAGAATTTCGAATGGAAAATCAATCTCTCATTTGTTTCTGTTTATCCTGGAGAGTCAAATAGGCAGAACTGACGAAATTGTTTGGTGAAACACTACAAAACCTCCCAGCTAGTTTCCTCAAATAAGCCATGAAGGTTTTTGTATCAAGTTTTGTCTTGTTCTTTGTCTTATTGTGGGAGGTGAGAATTTGTGAGTAAGAATGAAGATGCAGGGGGCGGACAGCGGCGTACAGGAAGTTTTGCCGTCGCCGTAAGGGGTGTAATGCAACGCTGACAGGAAAGACAGCAGCGGCAGGTGGGCGGACTGAAGTACCACATGAGGCTTATGATATGATATTTTCATGTATTATACCATGGCTCAAAGTGAAAACTGATGTACTAATATTAGGTTTTGTGGAAAACCAGATTTTTTAATGGTTTGTTTAAATTGCAAAATCAGTTATTGCAATTGGTCAACAACAAATGATTCACAGGCTTGGTTCAGCTGAACTGTTTTGCATGGAACGTATGGTTTTGTACATTTATTTCTAGCGTTTCGTTTATTCTAACTAGAGCCAGACTAGTGTTGTCACGGTACCAAAATTTCAGTATTCGGTACCAATACCAGTTAAAATTCACGGTTCTCGGTACCAATTTCGGTACCAAAGCTTAGTTTAAATCTACATATATTTAAGTGTTTATCACGGTTACAAGTATGGAAACTGTACATTTGTATTATAAACACTTTAGAAAAAGATTAGATAAAATGACCTAAACTAAACAATAGTATACACTAACACATTTTTAAAGTTGTTTGTAAAGTTTTAATCCATTATTTATTTAATGCACAATGAATTAAGTGAACAAACATGAACAATCAGGTGTTTGTAATAAATAACATTTTCAAACATTAATTAATGTTGTAAAAATATATTGTTCACTCAATGTGTTGATAACTAAGTAATGTTGATGAATGGTATCTTTGTAGCATTACCATAAAACATGTTTTATTTGACTTGACTGTCCTTTTATTTAATCTAAAACTGCATTCATATTTAATTTTAAAAAGGCTTTTTAAACCTGCTGAGTTATAAAGGCAAGAATACGCCTAGTACTGGCACTGACATTAAATGACAATACTAATACCAGTAGTACTCTGGTGTCTGGCGGATACTACTGTGCTCATGTATACTCGTAAAACTACCCCGAAAGCACTTTAGAGGCCGTTCACATGTCGCGCGTGTTTTTTAATTATATTTTTGCGCGTGCTTATTCTTTCCAAAGCGCTTGCTCTCACGCGGCGTCTGTCGTTACTATGCAACGGCAACGAGTTTTTATTATGAGCGCGCTTGAAATTGCGAATTTGCATGTAATCGGCCTCTTATGGCAACGTGACATTAGCCTAATCCAAAATATTTCCATATGTGGCTCTTTCCTCCTTTCGTTTCAACAAGTGGATTCAGAGAGAGAGAGAGAGCCATATCAGCGTTAAAGAGGACGCAACTGTGCACGTTTCAGACATCGCGTCTAGAACAGAACTGGATTAACCTGGTACTCGGTACCTAGAAAAGCTGGTACCGTAACTTTTTTTTTTTTTAGTACCGACTTGGTACCGAAGTACCGAGTTTTTTGACAACACTAAGCCAGACCGATATATCGGCAGGCCGATATTATCGGCCGATATTAGGCATTTTCCAAAATATCGGTATCGGCAGTTATATTGGCCGATAAATTAATATTTAAAAAATAAAATAAACACGCTTCAACCATGTCA